TATTTTAAGACACTATTGCCTACCAAAGACCATATATATTATGGGTTGATCTCTCTGCATACAGAAACAGTCAACTGTATTTTCATACAATGTAACATTTAGTAATTACACATAAAACATGACCTACAATAATCTTTAATGGGGAGAAAAGCTGCTGTGTTATACCACGGTGTAGCAAGTATTATTTTAGTGACAACATGTCCATATGACAACCATGGCAAAATTGCTATGGAACACAAACTTTGTCTTTTCTTACACCCATTTCAAGCTTTCCACTTTATCCCACAGGAGTTATTAGCCAATACATATTTGTCTGTGTGTGCTGAGTTTACTTTACAACTATTACTAACTGTCATGCCCCCAAAGCTCTCGTTTTCCCCGAAAGAAACGTTAACGTTTACTCTATATTGCCACCTTCTCTACCAAGTGAAGCAAAGAACCTGTAGTTTTAGTGCACTGGCAGTGCACTATCATGATTTTCACCTCTTATACATCAAGCCTAAAACTACAATGAATTTAAGTAATAGCCAAAAAAAAAAAAAAAAAATCACGTAGCGTTACCAACTGCTAAATTATGCATTACCTTCGTATGTAAGTCAGAATCTCTCAACTGTGCAAAGTGGGTTACAGACATAAAGAACTCCTTCATGTTAGGAGGAGTAGGGTGACGCTGTACTGTGCAAGACTTCAAATTTATCTGCAACCTCTTCCTTGAGTACGTGCAGGGCAGTAACGACTGTCCATGAATGGACCCTTTCACCAATCAGACATAACTAGCCACATGAGCATGATCACCACAGTTCTCTATTCTCTCCCCACTACTTCTCCTATTGCTCTAGCACAGCTCACTGAAAATAGAGACAATTTCTTGGTGGCAGAGAGACCAAAGGAAGAAGGAAAAAGATAATATTGGTGGGTGGAGGGGACAAGTTAGTCATATAGTTGTCACTTCCCCTACCTTTAACTCATGCTATTACATTATTCATTCCGTCTGCATTCAAGGAAAGCATCCCACATGCAGAAACCAAGATTTAAAGTATATGCCACTCATTACACAACTAAAAGCACAGAAGACAAAACACAACCTACCAATTTAAAGAAGAATAATGTTCAAGCAAGGATTTGGGAAATTATTTGGTGAAAGACAAATTTCAACTTAGCAAAAATTACAGGGGGTTGGGGCGGAAACAACTTTTCTTATTCAGCAACGTTTAGAGGAGACTGAAGGCAAGAACGTAAGTGCAGACAGACAACACTTAGTACCACAAAGACAAGATCTCGAGACTACAAAGCAATAGTCTTTGAAGACATTAATGTTCACAGCATCCAAAGAGATAGTGTTAAGGATTGTTATGAAAGGGAGAAAATTAAACAAGTCATGATGACAACTAATAAAACCATGATTTTAGACAACCCAGAGAATTCCAGTCAAGTCTCCTGGAAGTGGCATAGAGACAAATTCAGAATGAGAACAACGAGGATGGTCCTGGCCAACAGGACCACCAAGAGTTATCACCTGTCATGATACTGATGTATCTTCAACCCCACAAAGCTCCTACAGCACAGACTGCTAGGAGAAAGAGGAAGACGACGACACCAAGTTGCCTGCCCAATTGCTCAGGCAAAAAGATTTGAATAACCCATTACCACCAGTGGGTGTATTCCTGCTCTCCCTTCCAGCCTCCAGTTCTTGGCTACAATCCCCCTACTGCACATCAGCACACATCAGACCCCACTGAGCCTATGCAATTCGCCCAAATCACACCGAGTGAGCCCCAGAATAAAAGTAGTAAATTCTGGTGTGTTAAGTACCAGCAAGTGCCAAAGCTGGGACAAAGGAGGAGATGAGACAGTGTAAACAGAGCTTTGGGGAAGGAAGGAAGAGAGGAAAAGGAAGTCATATCCTCCCATTTTTGGTGGCTGTGGAATTTGGAGCCTCTTTCCATAACATTTGTCACTATTATCAGCCAGAAAGTATACTAGACTATACATACCTTCAGTGAGCCAGTGCATGGCCATTCTTTTACAGGATTTCCCTGCATTTCCAGGTCAGAGAGCTCTTAAATACACAGCAGAATTATTTTTTAGGGTAGAATACAGAAGTCAACTGCAAAGCTTGATTTCCTATTTCAGACAAGCATTTCCTCCTATCAAAACAGTCTTCCATTTTACGTAGTTTTATTAGAATCACAAGAGGAAGAGCATAACATTAAGACGTGGAAAAAAGGATGACTTTTTAAAGTCCCTATACTGCCTGCAGAGGACAGAAAGGATCGCTCAGAAGGGCGCAGCTGCCAAGTCACTGACCTCTTTCATAAGAGCCATAGCAGCAAAGAAAAATTTTAAAGGTCAGCTCGACTACACATAGTCTCAAGTAAGACAGGCAAAAAGAAAAGAGCTAACTTAAAGGACTATGTGAGAATAACAGATCTCAAAACAGATCTGCTATGGCCATGAAGTAATAGCCTCTCCCACTTTCTGCATAAAAACTTTTTTTTTTCCCCCCCGACATGGGTACGAGGTCTTCTTCAAATGCCACTTCCTCAGAGGGATGTCCTCCATTAGAAACAGCACCACTGAGTCAACTGTGTGGGTGGGATGGTAGAATTCAGCCCTACTAGGAAATGGTGCTTTGGTTCACAACCTAGCCATGAAGATTAATAAACCCATGAACAGTAGTTTTCAGGCACTAAATGAATGAAAAAGGAAGTAAACTCCTTTGTTGGTACTTAATGATTCTACCAAAGAATCCTTGGGTTTCTGCCCATTTATAAGGTGAATTTCATTTAAAAACCACCACCACAGAATCTGTCACAAACTCCAAACAAATGTGATTTTCCCCTTTTCCATTCACCAGTGATGAGGAAAAAAAAGCTGCTTCACAGTGAAAAGTCCCATCCTATCACATAACAGTTTTAATACCCAACAGTTGAATACCAATTCTGTAAACTTGGGGAAAATTTCTCAGAGTTGAACACCTTCCTCAGGCTACTGAAATTAAAAAGAACAGATAGAGTAAAAACAAAGCAACACTGTTAATGAGCGTAGAGGTTTCTGCTCTCAGGAGGAGAGCAGAATCTGGATATCAAATTACCAACACTTTCTGGTTACCTCCTTCAAAGGAATCATTCTTATCAACTTATCTGAGCAGAGAAACAATAGCCACATTCTTATGAGAAGCAATCATCGGGTTTACAAAGGCAGCTCTCACATGTCTTTGTGAGAAGAGCTTTTGGGGGTGATTTTGAGCCTTGCAGTCAGTGGCTAAGAGCTCAGAAAGCAACTGCAACACTTGCAGCAATATAGATTAGCTTCCTGTGAAGACAAAGCCACTTCTTGACCTCTGTCTCTTGATTAACCAACGTCAAGTTACTTAAGTGCAGCAGGTGGTTTCTTGATTACTCATGCCATGCAAAGAATTGAAAAATCTGGGACACAAGAAAGGCAATCTTACTGATGCCTCAAGCGTATCACTCCTGAAGTAAGAGAGGCTGAGATCCAGAGGAAGACCTGCAAAATCAACTGCAGAAAACATCCTGCATTTTTATAAATTAAGAAATGCAAAGTTCAAGTTTTTCTTGTGCTATGCAAGTTACAGCAGCAATTAATTCAAGTAAATAATCTTTTCAGCCTGAGGAGAGACAAAAATGCAATATTGCCTAACTTTCTACAGTAGAAAAAAAAAGAGATATCAGCATGAGTAACAGTCAGGGACCCAAAAAACAAAAGTTAGCCTTGTCATACCACAGAAAAAAAATGATTGACAAACAAACAACAATATAATCAATGACTGTCACAATCTGGCTCCAACACTTAAGCCTACAGCAATACTGCAAAGGTTTGCATTTTAACTTTCCAAAGAGAAAAGGACACATTTCTATCTACCTCAGTTTTGCTTCACTCAATATGAATGTCCAATAAAAATATACTGAACACCAACTTTTTATGCAAAAAGAAAGTTTACCTAAACTGTCACTCATTCATTTCTCATCATTTCAAATAAAGATTTAAATCTAAGTGTGACCTTGATGAGTTGATCATTAGACTGACACGCCTGCATCATTCACTCTTTATATCAGATGAACTTTTGCTGCAGATGGGTAGAGGCATGCTTTCAGCACAGTTCATTCAAATTAGTGTTAATTATTGATTAGAATAAACTCAGCTTGTTCTCTTTTACAGGAGAAAACTGGAACATGCATATTAGTACAACTGACTTTTGAACAGGCCAGATTTCTGGTTCAGAGAATACCTCTAGAAGACAGCTTCTAGTTCTCTAAATTCACTGGAACATTTTCCCCATTTCCTCACACAAGTCACCAGCACTTTCAGCACTCCCCAAACTGGCTGTGTTTTTACGGAAAAGTTTCCTCTCTGATTAAGCAACACTGAGGCACCAAAAGCCCAAATGAACATCTGCTATTGCTGTATAGCACCCCAGTTGTTTTTCTGTGTTGCAAATTGCTTCAAAGAGTTCTTCCTGTCATACATTAAACAAGAATATTAAGTAGCAGCAAATTACTGGTATAGTATGGCTCCAGATAGGCAATCCTAAATTGCTCCATGTGTTTCAAGTGTACTGTAACAGGAATGTAGCCTTGTCACTTGTACTTTCTTTTTTCCTCAGATTTAAATTAAAAGCACTATATGAGATTTACTTAGAATAAAAACATTAACTATAAAACACTAAAATCCATTACTAGCTTAGGAAGAGGAAGAGATGGGGAAAGCCCTTAAAAAAAGAAAAGTAGTGCACATTCTTTGAAAATATTCCTTGCAGACAGAAACAAAAACAGAGAAAGAAGTAGCCACAGCACGTGCAATCCATGCAAAAGCAATTTTATCTTTAATCAACCCCACTGCACTGAAGATGTTTAGCTACGAGTGTCAGCATGAGGGAGAGGGGAGAAAAAAGAAAAAAAGAGAGTTTGAAGGAAAAAAAAAAAAAACCAAAACCACAAAACCAAACAAACCAAAATCTTGAATTAATGACACTCTACCTCAGTGATTGGTTGCCCTTGTGATGCCAAGTCCAGTTCCTGAGGTCTCGTCACCTTATCGATATCCAAGGAGTCCATGCTGGAAGCTGCAGAGGTTATACTGGAACGGGAGGAGTTACTGATTGAGCGCACCTCAGCATCACTCACTGTGCCAGCAGATGCTGTCCTCCTGTGCTGAGCAGTAACTACTGGTTTGGTGTCTTCTGCAACAGACTGTTGAGCTGCCTCATCCATACTCAAAGAGGCCTTCTCTAACTGTGCAGTGATGTCATCCAAAGATACGTTGGCATGTGATGGTTTAGTCACCTTACCAGATGAGGAGGATAATCCTTTTATGCTGCTGTGCTTAGTAGAAGGTCGGCTAGCAGGTGGTTTCTGAGATTTGGATTCTGGGGCAAGGCGTTTCACTGCAGCATTATTTGCTGAATGAGACCCAATGCTGCTGAGCTCCTGCTCTATGGAACAGAGATCAGCCATGAGGGCATCTAGATCCACAGTCTCCCCTTGATTCAGGGCTTCTGCAACAAACAAGAGTTTTTGGTATGTGCAGAGTTACTTCATTTGTCTGTGCAACTCTTCACTTTGTGTTATCAAATTTAACAGTTAGGGTAAGGGGAGCAAAGGAAGCTGTATTTTCTGTTCCCATCAGTACCGCAAAATCTCTGCTCACTGCTAAGCAGAAATTTATTTGCACTACTACTCTTGGCTGGTCTAAGAGCAAATAAAAAAACTATTTAGGTTAAATACATTTGCTGACAGAAGAAATCTATGAATGTTCAGATTACATTTGAAAAGTTTAAACTGCTGTCCTGTGAACAGAATCTAAAAATACATTTGTATAATATCATGCCTCAACTTTTCAAAAAAGTGTAGGTGTTTGCTAAGCATTTTCTGCTAAAGCAATGCAAGGTATGTGATACTGCTTCAAAAAAAAAAAAAAACAAAAAAACCAAAAACACAAAATACTGTACACATACTCAAGCCTATAAATTAAGGCTTCCTGTATTACAACCAGGGGAAGCTATTTTAAGACAAGGAAAAACATTATTTTTGTTTAACATGAAAGCATTCTGTACCTATATTCCTGCACCTTGTCCCATGAAGCAAGATGCTCTTTCTTCCCATTTAACAGATACACATAAATGCATTGTTTCATGAGAATAGATCCCAGAACGTGTATTTCTGTACAAACACTAGACTACAATTCTCAGATACTGAGTGCTGTAAAAGACACTGCTTTAGGATACTCAAAATTCTGTGCCATCAGAACGCAATGCCTTCAGCAAACAAGTTCTCACTTCAGCTAGAAGTGTATTTAAATGCTCTTATATTTTATAGTGTTCTCATTTATAGCTGGAACAGGTTTTTTCCCTAAACTGATATTTGAGGGGGTAAATAATTCAACAAACCATTCAAATTGTACATGGAGAAGCGATATGAGAAGTTGGCAAGATTGGTTTCCTGACGGAGAGGTGATCTCTTCACTGGTGCCACAGGCTTGTCTGTATCCAAACTCTGAAAAAGACAAGCAAAAGGGCAGAATAAAGTTTGACAAGGAACTCAACAAGCAAATCTTCAAGATGAATGAAAATTAATTTTCTCTTAAAGAAATTTTTAGAAAATTCCTGGCATAAAAAAAAAACCACCAAACCTCTTTTTCAGGCCTTAGACTGAAAGCATATGTCATCATACCACAGAGATTTAGCTTCAGATATTTAATGGAGAAAAGATGTTAAACACATTCTGGGTTTTTTTTAGAATCAAAAGGATGGAAGCATATTCCAAATGCATTTTTAAGTGGTGTTACATACTAGCTCATGTATGAAACACAGACAGCTGGCTGACCTGTAACAACAACTCTGCAGCAAACTGCACAAGTATCTAAACACATTCAAACTGTGGCACCCTCTCTAAGAAATGCATCATTAGCTTATGAGCAAAATCATGGCATAAACACACAAAAGCATTCAATGAAGAATTTTATTTTCTTAAAAGGGATTTTAAATTGGCTAAATTCAGACATTTTTCTCAATAAGCCTTTCCCGCGAAAAATGTTAAATTGTGAAAGCAAACGCCAGCCAGCTCACGTAGGATAAATTTTTTTAGCAAAACTAATATAGGTTAGAAATTAAAAAGAGATAAGACATCTTTCTACCCAATACATTGAATTGTTACATTACGAAGGCTAATTTGGGCATAAATATTACAATAAATACCAGCATTTTTGTAAGTAGCAAACAGCAGGGCACTATGATCCAGCTGGTAACCCAAGAGGTACATGACAGGGTCTGGAGTTGCTGCCCTTGGAGTCACAAGTGTTACATGGGGAATCTAGCTCTTGCTGTTGCTGAGGCCTGACAGGCCTGCAGAGGGTTTGAATTTAAGCAATGCTTGTACTGATAAAGTTTTCCTGAAGGTATGCTTGTCTGAAAGAAAAGCATCTTCTAGCTCTAACACAACAAAGAAACTTTGTGTGTTGTGTGAGAAACTCACCTAAGCTTTTTATTTCCATTTTCTACATCTTTACTCAAGCCTTTGTTAAAAATCAAACACACTATTTTCCCTCCCCACTATTTATTTTTTATGAACTCCCATCTCTCCTCAGTTTGGCTTGAGCTTAAAAAAAAAATAAAAATCACTTTATTAGGAAGTCAATCATCACTTAATGAGAAGCCAGCGATGCAGCCTTGTCTTCCATCAGGGGGGAAAAAACTTCACCTCTAGTACCTCTGATGGAGCTTACATATTGTCCCACACAGAACAGCTGAAAAACAATAAAATTTTTTAAAAAAAAAAAAAAATTTTTTTTAAACCCTAGAGGCAGGAGGGAAAATGGGGACAGAAAAGACAAGTTAGGGCTCATTCCTTCAGGCTGAACCCATAGACTGAATCATCACTTAATGAGAAGCCAGCGATGCAGCCTTGTCTTCCATCAGGGGGGAAAAAACTTCACCTCTAGTACCTCTGATGGAGCTTACATATTGTCCCACACAGAACAGCTGAAAAACAATAAAATTTAAAAAAAAAAAAAAAAATCTATCTATAACCCTAGAGGCAGCAGTGAAACTGGAGACAGAAGAGACAAGTTAGGGCTCATTCCTTCAGGCTGAACCCATAGACTGCCACAAAAGATTTCCTGTAAAGCAAATATATTCTGGTTAAAAGCATCTACAATGTGTTTTACTGAATTTAATAATAAAGTTATCTCACATCCTTGGAAACATATGTGATATGCTTACACCTATTATCAGAGCACATTCTCAGCAACACATTATGATGCTAAACTAGCAGTTTGGAGAACTGCTGAAAACTGCAACAGCACCAAAAGCTTAGTTCTGAATGATCATGAGAAGCAAGGTAAGATTTCCTTCATTTAACCTGCACCATAGAGCAGGATAACTAGAGCAGGATAAATGTTAACGCACTCTGCATCAGTGCCAAACACTGCTCACATGTGCTGCAAATTTTGTGACTACATTTTATGCTTTTATTAGACCAACAGTTAAAGAGGGCAAAGTGAATTCAAATGATCTCATGGGCATCTTAACAATTACAAATCTTTTAAAAAGCACTTCCATTTGAAAAGGAATCTTGGTCTTACTTTCAATCCCCCCACCCAAAATAAACATTTAGGAAATCTAAAAACAAAGTTAAAGTTCAAGGAACTGAGGGACAAAAAAACCCTTTCCTCCTACTGTTCTTAGAGTCCAGCTGATAAATAGCAACAAATGCTGAGACTACAGGAGAACGCACTTTGAAGCTCATTAGCTCTAATCACCCCCTCCCTTTATTGGGACTTTATTGGGACAGCTGCATCAAAACACAATCACTTTCCAAACAAACAAACTAAGACACAACTAACTGCATTAACTTGTTTATACAAAACCATATGAGGTCATTCAAAGTTTTGGGGGAATGTCATTTCTCAGTAGTCACAAAAGATAGAAGGGCAACTGTCAGGCTATGTTGCACTGCGTTGTACAGCAATACGAAAGTGAGAAACAAATAATGTGGGTCCTCCCCTTAACTATCTGTTAGTAGGTTTTAAGAATTTTGCATGGATCAGCACACAAATTGAGACATGACCACAAAGTCTGTATGTCAGTAGTGTAGATGTAAGCCCCAAGTAAAGTATGCTTATATTTCTGGGCTGCTCATACCTGAAAAAATGGGGCAGACAGCAAAAGGCCTAAGACCAATTACCCATTGTGCTCCCCTGTGAAGATCCTCACTCAAGGTAGTTTACAGAGCCACACCTTCAAAACTGCTCCCACTTATCATTAAAAATCCTTCACAGGAAGTTAAAACACAATAAGAATTATGATATACAGATTTATTTCACACTGTCTTCCATTCATCTCAAAAGGCAGGATTCTTTGTTGCCCTGCATGCACAAGTTCAGAAAATAAAAATTTTCCCCTAGAGTGCTATGTACATTTAGATCTTGCAGGCAGAGATTTAACCAGAAGATAACACAGATAAGCCTGAATTTGAAATGTTGTCACATGATTAGCTCAATTTTTTTTCCAGTCTTTGAGTAAGATGAAGATGAGAAGAGCTGCCTCTTCTCTAGCTTACTGAAACTTGAGGTATCATAACTTTGCTTAAGTCTACGTGACAAAGAGGGAGAAGATGAAATACATTATGCAGGAGGGCCAGTTCACACAGCTGAAAAAAACATAGCAGGCAGTTACAGAGAAATGGCCTATCACCCCAGGAGTCTGGCATACCATTCAAAACACAAGATCTGCTTGTGAAGGAAAATCACTAGAAAGAAGGCAGTGCCCAAAGAAGATGTACTATCAGTTGCCTCTCTGATGCAGGAAGAGTACTCTGGAATAACAGCGAGTCCTCTAGGGTGTATCAGGGCACCTTACCATGCCATCAGTGGCAACATTCACAATTTCTTGTTTGTTTTTGCTGTTCCGGTGCAACAAATAAATGCTGTCATAGCTGGACAATGTCCATCCATATGTTTGGAAATATAGCCTACCCCTAGCTAGCTGAAGTCAGTGTGTCTCTATATACAGGAGGACAAAATACCAACTCCATAGCTGTCAGAAGGAATCATACCCTTTGGGAAAGGTCGAACTAGCAGGTTGTGAACAATTAATTTAACAACTTTGAGATGGGGAAAACAAGCCAATTTAGAAACCTTGAAAGAGTACTGAGCTGGTCACATGGTCTAGTCTACCTTGCTGCAAGTGGCAGTGCTAAGTAGTTAGCATCCAACTGAAAAGAAACATGTAATACTTATAAAGAATTATTCTGTGAGATGACTGAAACCTCCCTAACCTGTGTGAGTTTGTCCAGTTCCCCCAGCCAGGCCCCAAACATCTTGTCCAGATCCTGATCTTCCTTATCACTATCTTCTTCGGCACCATGGTCAAGTTCTTCATCTGATAATTGCTCCATCTGAAAAAGAAAAAAAAAAAAGTTTGATACTCAAATTGTATCAGTGTCTAAGAGAACTGATGTCAGCTACTAAATTTCTGAAAAAGTGTTCCGAAGTCAAAGCACATGTCTGTCCATAAAATTTATAACAATTGTGTACGTTCACAGTTTATTATCCTGCTCACAAGTAAAGTTAGTGTGAAAGCTGCAATGGATAATTACAAAGCCATTCTTGCAGCTCACTTTTATCAAACCATGCAGAAAGATGAAGAACAGAGTCCACAATATTTAATACACCATCAGAAATTATTTCATGCTAGCCTTGCACGTGCATTCATTGCCAGCTATTGTTGGCAAAGTCTATTGACTTTACATTACAAAAATTCAACCCTTGTCCAAGGAATTCAGCTGACCACAGTTAAGCAACACCATTCAACCCACAGGAAGTGCAGTCTCACTGCACTGCAAACAGCTGACTCCACACATCTGTAAACAGAAATGCTTAAACAGACCACAGAGAATGTCAGCAATACATCCCATGAGAGGGTTTAAACCTTGGACACTGTCCAGATCCCTTCAATGATACTGGACAATTTTTACCCAACAAAGAAACTCCTCCCTGGAAGCAAAGAGTCACCATTACAGCTATCAGACCCTCCTTTATTCAACAAATTTGAGTGACCCATATAAAGACTTAACATTCTCCAAAGATTATCCACTATCACCTCAAAGGAAATTAATCTTTTGTTAAACAAGTCTCTATTCTCTTCCCCAAACATGTCCTCCAAGCCCCTTATATAGAGCTAAGATACACATGCCTTCCTGGATACATCCACACTGTTAAACCCAGGATCTGGTTCAGAATGAAAATTTAGATACTTGGGGGGAAAACGATGTAGGCAACAACTGGGGAGTAATCAGGCAATACAGAAGAGTAAATCCTAGATATGTGCTATAGAATGTCCAGAGAGACACGAGAACAGATTGCCACCAACAGCTACACATTGTGTGCTGTACAGCTTGATTTGGTCAAGTCATGGGCTACATAGTAATTTGCTGCATAGCTTTCAGAAAGCACCCGTTTACGTTTCATAGACTTAAAAGCAAATTTTCTAAATGCTAGTCTTCAGGAAAAGACAAATCTTGGTCCGAAAGACATCACAGTGTTGCAGAGTTAAACTGATGAGATGTTATGAAAGATGATAAAGGTGATCTCAGAGAAAAACTGTTCAATCCGTTTTTGACTTTATATGCCAATAGTTCATGCAAAAAATTTCCCTGATTTAAAAATAGCTTTTTCTTCTATTTATATATTGCTTATATTTCACTTTGCCTTGATAAAATAATCAGGGAACAGGAGACTTCAGAGGTGATCTACAATTCTGAGGTCTGCAGAAGCCCATGTCTCCCACAGATGCAAGATACTGCCATCCAGTTGCTCTAGGCAAAGCCACTTCAGTCTCCTACTGAGATTTTACTTTTGTGGGAGAGCACAATGCAGCTGCTTACCTTAAAAGAGGCAATAATATTAAAGCTAACCTGGCATGGCATACCACGCTGAGCAAACACTGAACAGATTAAATTCACCATCTGAATCTCATTTCTTCCAACACTTGTTTTGAGTACTGTAAAGTACTTCTAGCACTCCAGGGAAGGGAAAGAAGCTCTTCCTAAAATCTAAGAGTGATGCCCAAATCCAAAAAATGCCAATATGCTTATGTAATAGAGCTGCATCCTTCCACCAAGACTGCACCGGTTTTTATGTTCTAGAAGTGAGGCATGCCTCCCCCTGCAAAATTCCTCTCCATGACGTCACCTGAAAGCCCTCCCACATACAGAAATGGAGACAGCAGGGTAGCAGCAACTCATACTCTGCCTGAACTTCTGCAAAACAAACAGAAGCTGGATTCCACTTTCACACCCCTTCGAAGCTTTGCTTTGCTACTCCTTAGGCTTTTACATGGACCAGAAATATTGTAAATTCAAGACAAAAGGCATTATACTTAAGGTGACATGGTCAAACTGCTTAACACTGTTCACATTTGACAAGACAGCATTTCTCAATGTCTACATACACTGGAAGTAAAGAATTTTTATTTGAAGGCTAAGGGAAGCTATTAAAAGCATGCCTTAGGAAATATGACTATGAACTGGCAAATCAAATACATGGAAACTGTGATACAAAATCGACAGAGCTCAGTATTTACAGATACTTTGCACTCCTAGCCTCTCCCTCTTTGAGCTGTTTTTGCCACTTACCCTGCAGTCAGATGGGACTTGTTTTGCAGTGCATTCATTGTATGGCACTGTTCATAACTCATCCTTTCATTGAGAGAAGCTTGTTCTTTTTACTAATATTTCTGTGGAAAGAAACCAGCATTCTCAATTTCCCATAAGCTGTTGCTTTAGCTATTTTAACTTGGCGTCAGAGACACTGCTTTAGTTCCAGTTACTCTGTAGACAGAATTAGAAGCCTAAAGAAAACTTTTACAAGTAAAGTACTGTTGTGTCAGCAAGTCTGGCACTAAACCCTGTAGTATTTGCCAGCTCCTTGTAGTCCCCACCCAAGCTTCCTAACGTCAGCTGCATTTCCTATGAGCCTGTCAACGTTTGCTTGCAAAAGGCACACAGAGGATAGTGTCTCACTTAAAAAACAGCTAATATTAACTTGCTAGTTCTGTAAAAGGGATCTCTCTTAGCACAAGCTCCACTACTGGAAGGAAATATCCCAAAGGACATTAATTAAAGGATTAATTAAATAAATTAAGGCAGAGATAAAATGCTCAGATAACAGGATCTGAACTTTTTGACATAAGAACTCAAAACAGTAACAACTCAGAAAGAGTGCACATTCCCATTAAAAAGCTTGAAGTTTTCCTTTTTACAGCCATTTTCTTTCTCAGTGTTGTTGATCACATCAAACATGCACCATACTTTAGCAAATCATGATCTAACTGGGAGTTATCATACCTTTCTAAGGATATGACACTTTCAGTTATAATAAGAAAGAAAAATGGCATAAGTTTAAGGGTTGGGGGGGTGGGATTTTTTGTGTGTTTTGTTGGGGTTTGTTGGGGTTTTTTTTGTTGTTGTTGGTTTGTTGTTTGTTGGGGTTTTGGGGGGGTTTTTTGGTTTTGTTTTGGCTTGGTTGTTTTTTTGGTTTTGTTTTTTAAAGGAGTCATTTAGAACGAAATTAGGTCAAAAGAAACAGAAAAGGAACAACTGTTCTAGTGTAACACCATGAAGTAAGCCACTCACATTCCTAAAGCATTTGCAGGCTAGCAGAGTTTAAGTAGCTGTTCCTTCTGAATAGCTCACACCAGGTGAAGTGCCAAAGTAATTTTAGGATTCAAGTTATTTTTCAACACTTCACCTTCTATTCTGTTCAAGTGTATGCCAGAATAGAACTTAATGAAAATGAGCAGCATTGTTCTGGGATACCTAGATAAAATAAGGTACCAACACGGTACAGTCTTCCATATGCAAGTAAGGCTTCCTGCACTAAAGAGTGGTTGATGTACTATTTCATTATCCACTATGGACTGCATCAGTCAACTTTATCTGTTTGAAATGCTATTTGAACAGGCAGACCCATAATCACTGTAAGTCAACTGTCTAGCTTCCAGCACAGTTCATTAGGTTTGTTCACCTTTAAAATGCAGGAAGCAGAGTATTCCAATATTATTCTTATGAAAAATTACTGAGGCTTTCATTAGAAGTCACCAGCTGCAGCATTTAATCATAACCTACTATTTTAATTACACTGCAAGAAAAACAAAAAAAACTTACCAATAAATTAGAAAAAAAGAAACATTTACTCTTTCAAGCTGATTCTTATGCAAGCCATTGTGGCTTTCAGTATGCCAGGACAAGCACAAGATAATGTGATATAGAAACACATGAGAAAAAAAATGAAAAACCCAAGAACAATGCTTCAAATGTACCATTTTGACATTTTCAAGAAAAGACACCATCGCAGAATTCTGAAACTAACCAATTGCTGTCATCAGAAAGCAATGGCTGATCTTTGGTACAGACCTAAGTTACAGAAGTGTCTTTCAGTGAGACTTGCACTTTGAGACGGTAGTTCCTACCTTAAATCAACCCAGTTCAAGACAATAGGAAATTTTATTATATTAACAATATTTCCTTACAATGAAAACACTCTGCACTGAAAAAAAAAAAAAGTAGTTGTAAAAGAATCAGACTGCAGGATTTGTCTACACCACACTTAATTAATGAGGGAAAGATTATCAGAGAAACAAAAATAGAATTCTGAGTCCAACTGGAAATGCCAACGTGCTTAAAGGGGCAGCAACAAGAACGTGTTCATTCACTGTAATTTCACAAGCACTGTAATAAGCATTTTCAACTAGAGATGGATGCTTAATTATGTTCAAAGGCAACTACCAGCATAAAACCCCAAAATGAAAACAAACCATCTTTCTTTCAGGCAACTGATGTTTTCAACCCCAACCTTTCTTATTATTTAAGCATAAGCTTGTACAAGCTTATGCTTGTTACTGAAATAAGGATTTTCTACCTAAAAACAACTATGGAATTTGTTACAAATCTATTATAGGTATGCAGTAGAAAATACACAAACGTTCAAAACACCATCTGAACAAGTAACTGGATTTCTGCATTTTAAGATCTAGCCTCAGGAACCAAAAGGAACTAAATAGCATGTGGTTTGGAAAATATACTCGGTTTGGAGCTGGTTTAGAAATCAGAATTCTTATTCCACTTGTGATCATCCATGTGTCATCATGCCAGTATCCATTTCTGTTTTGGAAGTCGTACATGACAGAATACTACAGTAGTACACTGTCCAAGCACATAAGGATAGTGTGTACACATACATAAAAGAGTAAGATTCTAGCAGGTTTTCACCTCCAATACTTGTTCACCTGACTGCTTAAAGAAATAAGGTTATTTACAAAGAAAAAATTGAAATGCTTTCACAAAACTGACAGCCAAAGCTCACATCCACATTTCTACGCATTTTCTTCAAGTAAATG